AAAAAAAAATAAGAAAGGAAAAAAGAAACATTTCTCAGGTACACTGATTTCATCAAATGGCAAATTCGCTGTTAGAAGAAGAAAACGCATCTCATTAAATAAAAATAATAAAAAAAAACTGAAAGAAAGAAAGCTAACAAAGAGAAGATTTGCATGCTTTTATGCTACAGAAAAGAATGTTCTCGAAAAAATACCCCCGTAAGGTTGGGCTTTTATATTTCCCCCTCTCCTTTTTTCTCATTCATTTTTGTTATAAATTTTAATTATTCAAGCAAATGAGCAAAAAAGGTACTGACATGGTTTTGGAGTTGTATAAAAAATTAAAAATGTGAATACCTCTTTTTTTTATTTCTAATTTCGGTGAATTTATTAAAGCTCTAGCTGAAAAAAAAAAATTTTTTTTCTAAAGGTACATTTCCTTTCCGCTTTTCTTCCCCTCCTGTTCACTTTTTTTCGGCAACTTTTTTTCTGACGACCCTATAGCCACCTGCGGCCCTTAGTTACTAGATTTTGTGCTCGCCTTGTCCCACAGGGACTTTAATTATCACGCGGGACGAAGATGGATGGGATTCTGTCCCATTGCTTCATTTTTCCATACCATCGAAAAAGGATTCCTTCAATTTAGAGCTACGAAAGTGCTTATTGCGCCTAGAGCTGTGTTTAAGAGCAAACTTAGTAATTGAGATGCCATATCAACAAATTTTTCTGCCCCAGTGCATAATAATAATTTGTTAAATAATTACATTTTAATGTACGTTATGAATTATTCACTATTTATTTTCCGTTTATATACGCGAAATGTAACTTAATAAATGTCAGCAAATGTATAACTTTCCATCCGTTGAAAGTGTTGCAACTTTTTGAACGCATTGTAATTAATTCTTTCGGAAGAGGTACCATTTGCATTTGATGTTTTTTATGGCAAGCCTCCGAAAAATTGAACCTTAATAAAAAGCGAATTAGCCACCACCGTAATAAAACATTAAATTGAACCATATATCATTTCAAGTTAAACCATAGTATCGTGTAACTATATTTAAGGAGTACCGTGATATGGTTCAAAATAGCAACATACTCAGGCTGCAGTGGAATAGAACGATAATATAATTTGCAACAGTAAATACACTTCGAAATCATGTTAAGTAAGGATTAAATTAAATATGTTCTACAGCACTATGTATCTTTTCAAACTTTTACCAATTTTAATCTCGTATGATATCTAATATTTCAAATAAAATTATTATTTTTAAGAACACTTGTTTAAAAGAAAAATCGTGAAAAATACTGATCTAGTTTGCTCTACAATACTCTAGATAAATGATCTCCGAGTCGTCGATCGTGCGCTATTAGTAGATCGAGGGAACATTTTGGGTAAATAGCCTTAACTAGCATACTAATTCAATAAGCCAAATGTAAGATTTTTTATTTTTAAAATGACGTTTCCTTTGGTTGGTAGCTTAGAGTATGATTTAAAAACGGTACGGTAGCTTCAAAGCTTCATATGCTTTGCAACCTTACTCAATTGATACATAACAATTTTAATCGATTTTTCCGTTAATGACAAATTTGAAATATTAATGAGATTTCTGGACTCATGATGCATGGCATATTGGTCTATTTGTAAATCTGAACCAGCGTTGGTTAATAAAATTCCTTATCCTTAGCTTTCGAAAACCCACTTGCTTCTGGAAATTCTTGAAAAGGAAAATGAGTTTATTTTCAGATTAAACCCAAAATTTGCTTTGCTCAGCTCTTTCCGAGATTTATGTCTTTTTGATTTCACGCAGGAAAAGTTAATGTGGCGTACCACCATTGCATTCATAGGAAGGCTTTTAAATCACCCGAAAGGAGTGATTTAGTGTCATTCACTCTAGGGTCCAATGTAGAATCCCAAGTTTTAATTTAGCAAAAGAGCTGTTGATCAAAAAGACACGAAAGAACCAGGAACTCTTCATCCAGACCTTTACGATGTCGGAATCAGAAGCTATTTGAAAAGTAGACTAGGGGAAACCCCTAGGGTACAATCCTAATTACGTAATGGCCCGCCAAAGGGAACACTACCTTACTGAAAGAAGAAAGCACTAAAGAGATTTTTAATAAATGTTTACGAGGTCTTCTGGATGTAAGATCTAAAAGTCAGTCGGAAAGAGATGCCAAGAGGGCTTAATACTTTGTAGAGGTTGGATGAAACTGATGATTTCCCAGTAGATGGGCAAGAGTTGATGATTAAATCTCGCTTCTTCCTTCCAGCCCTTTGGGTCACATCTGACTTAGGCTAAGATTGCCCTCTTGTCCAACAGGCACTTTCAACTGCTTTTCTAGTAGTGAAGTTAAAGTCGATTCTATCGAACTTTACTACCGAACTGATTGCAAAAAAATATAACGTAAACGCTTGCTTCTTTGACATAAAATCTCCTAGTAGAAAATGTCTAAATAATGACAAAGTTCTGTGAATGTTTAAGAGCATAAAAGTGTTTTAATTTCCATGGTTGCTTCAAAAATCTCGAGTTATTTCTGTTAATTGAAGAATTAACTTTGAACAAATGCAATTTTAAATTATTCGGAACAATACTTTTTTCCACATTATATTCATGAAGTATATACTTGTTCATTAAACAATATTAATACATTGTTTTATAGGGCTCATTTAACCAAACACGACGAAAAATTTATTTTATTTCAATTGAATTTTATTGCAAAATTTGATATTTTTAATGGATTTCTTTCAAATGAATAAGATACCAACGGTAATTCAAAAGCTGGGTGGGAGAAAATTATAATTGGTATTTTAGTGAACCTCTGTAAATTAGCTTTAAATTTTATACGTTGATAATAGGAAATAAAAGTAATGTCTTGCCTTTATTTTTTTGTCTGCAATCTTTCCAATTAATAAAATCTGTAAGTCCTGAGTCCCCAATAATCATTCAAACTGTTCGATTTCTAAGCGTTTTAATTTGCTTCCGTGAACTATTTGGTGCCAAATAAAGAAAGCACTTAGAAACATTTTTAGCTCCAAAAAAAGACGTAGAGCCTCCTTCATCTAAGGTCTAGCAATGCATAATGCCCTTTATATGCTTATCCATTCAAATGAAAGCTGAGTCTAAAATATCTAAAGTGTGAGAAAAATATTTAAAAATTTCTCTTTCTGATTAGGCAAATCTAAATTTCAATTCGAATTTTTTCTTCGAAAGAAGAGTGATATTTTTTTTTTTTTTTTTTTACCTAAGTCTGACTTTTAGAAATTACTTTCTTTATACCACAATTCTTTATATATTTTTTACAGATACAAAAACGGCAAGAAGAAAAAAAAAACATCTTTGCTACCTTCGTAAGATCTCTAATGCCCATCTCAAATATTTTGAATTCGGGAAATTAAAGCTATCTATTGCGTGAGCTTAACTGATTTCTCAAGTTACAGCTTTCCCAAGGAAGTGAGGTCACCAAGAGATGACAGACACCCTCATCCAAGAGGGTTTTGGGATTTTCACTACAGGGAGACAGACTTTCACCCCTCCTTTTTGCTTTGTTTATAAGCACGATGCTGTTAGTCGTGTAAGGTGTTTGCTATTGCCCCTGTCACCAAGGCCCCTAAGCTCTTCGAAATCCATCGTTAATAGATGAGAGAGTGGGAAATTGACAAATGGGACTTGCTTTGTCTCTGAAAACTCCTATATTTGTTTTTACTGACATTTTCAATTGTGAGTTTTTCTTTTTTTATTTCATGTTGAACTTTATAAGCCTACCCAATTTTTTCCTTATTTGCTCAAAAAGGTATTTTTTTTATGCGAGTGCTTAATTGATCCTATTGTGGAGCGTAAATGTCTTTTAGCTAGTTGAAAAGCTTTCTGTCCTGCTTCTCTTGATGTCTTCATATTATCCAATTTATCATATTAGTAATTTCTGTGCGTCATATAGTTGACAAATGTGCTATATATGCTACTCAATGGAAGTTTATTTTATATTTCATTCTGTTTTAAAATACGTTTATAATGCAGCTGTTCTTTTTTTTTCTTTCTCTCTCTTTCTTTTTTGCACTTTTTGGGTCTGTTTTGCATATCTTACTTTACAGGAATTAAAATAATATAGCATGCTAATTTTGATAATTGTAATTTCTTAATTATCTTTCATATTGTGTGTATATTAATATATTCTATGAACTCTGATATTAATCCTAATATATTTTATACAAATTGTTTAATTATAAATTAGTTTTTAACTTTAAAACTATTTATTCTATATACTCTTTTCGTATTAAAGCTGCATATTCTGAATTTTATAAAGTTAAGTCAGAAGTGGTGTCATTTATTCATATTGCATGTTTAAAAAACATATCTGTTTGATTGAAAAATATGCCTCTCAGCAAACAGGCACCATCATTTTTGAATTAATTGGAAAAGATTCGAGCATTTTCCACATAGCTTAACATGTTTTATATTTATTGTAGAGAGCCCAATCACCTAAACCAATTCGAAAATTATAACAAAATGAATTATGGTCGAAACATTTGCATTGACCTTAGAATAAAGAATAAATGTTAATGAAGGAATAAATGTTCATAAAAATCCAAACTAGAGAAATAAACTAAAAGTAGCTCCAGGTGACAAGGTTCATTACAATAAGCCTTAACGAATTCGGGCTGATTGTTATAAGCCTCAAAATATCAGATTGGATTAAAAATATTGAGAATTTTTCCAATTAGACTGGTGATTACGAAACGGTGGTAACGTTTGCAGAGAGCTGGATTGCTTAAAAAACAATAATAGCTCCATTGATAAGGTTCGCTGCAGTAAGTCTGATTCGGGCTGATTGTAATAAGCCTCAAAATACCCGGCGGGATAATGAATTTTGATTATTTTACCAGTTAGACTGGCGCATTGCGAAATGGTAATAACATTTGCAGAGAGCTGGCTTGCTTAGCAAACCTATAATCCATTATTATATACTCAAAACTTGAAAATACTTTTTCTGTTGAATTAATTTTTTTTCTTTTTTTTTTCTAGGTAAGTTTCCATTCCGGTGCCCATAGGTTTGCACAAGTGGTTTGATAGCTGACGGGTGAGATTTTAACATCTAATTCTGACAAAATACTATTCTTTTTGCTAATATTCTCAGATTTATTGTTTTGTTCTTATGTAAAATGATAATAAAAATGTGTTCTAAATTTGAATTTCACACTAAGCCTAACCATTATAATAAGTTAGAATACATAAAGAATAAAATCGTCTGATGAATAAGATTTAATTTAGATAATCAAATGAAGTGTACTTCTTGTTACAAAGGAGCAGACGATTCTATTCAGTTGTTTCAAATCAATTGATAAGTTCCTTATAGTAGCTTTGAAATTCAAAGAAAAGCCTTAATTTAACATTCATCTCGCGAAATCGTTCTATGTTCCCTTTCTACTTTCAGTTATAAGTGAAATTTGCATACTTTTGACTGTTTACATATGCAAATATACTTTTGATTTAGTTTATTTTTAACATAAATTTTTGCACCAAGTAAACTATTTAAATAAGCCAGTTTAGAACACTTCAGTCAGAACTAACTAGGTAAGTGTCCTAACTCAATTCAATTAAAGCGCATTTGAAGGACTGAGGAAATTTTGGAAGTACTGTTTCAAGAGAAGTAAGTCCAAAAGTAAGTACTTTGCGTTTTCTTGGAGTTCGCAGTCTGGAAATAACTTTTCAACAGCGTGAGTAATATTATTTAATCAAATGAGTTGTGCAGTTTTCTGCTTTGAAATTCCTTTCAAGGGTAAAACTTCTGACTTGTAGAAACTCAGGAAAGACGTGTTACAATCTTATGTGTTCCTTTTATTTCAATTATGCATTCAACCTTGACTACTTTCCAATTTGAAATCTTATTTATGCCTCTTAGATCTTATGCTGATATTATAACAATGAACAATAACGTGTTTGTTATATGGTAAATGCAAGATATATTTTACCTATCGGCAAAAGACTTCTTTTAATTATTTTCTTAAATTTCAATTATGCATTTAGCCTTGATTACTTTTCAATTTAAAATCTTAAACTAAGTTATTTAACTTTGTTACATTATAAAAGAGAACAATTATGTGCATGTCATGTGGTCAATTGATATTTTATACTAATAAATTGGTTTGTTGAAAATGAAATTCTATATATTTTTGTGATTAATATTATATATTAAGAGTGTTTCATTTAATTGGTATTAAATATTGTATTACATTTTTGTGCTAAAATGTCAATTGTATGTAAAAACAAAAAAATTCAGCAAACGTAAATGAATTCATGTTTTCATTATTATCTCATCTTGGTAAATAATGATGAAAAACCTAATGTTTGGTATATGTACATTGACAATGAGATTTCATGTCAACGCATGTTTAACATATTGACAATGCGATTTCAAGAGTTATTTCTATAAATTGAACCATCCTTTTAAAATATAAAAAAAAATGCCGTGGGAGTTCTATTTAAAAATGATTTATTTGAATATTAATATAAAATTATAGTCGAATTTGAAAACGCAACGCCATGTATTCAAAATTGTAACAGCATGAACTAATTTTTGAGCAAAAGGCATAGTCTCAAAAATAATGTAGAAGTAGATATGTGTGAGAAAAAAGTTCGTTGGCCGCCGGCAAGATTCGAACAAAGGAGCTCCAGATTCTTAGTAGGAATGCTTTAACCACCATAATTGTACAACCCAGTCCAGGGAAAAATTAAGAAGCCTTATATATTCTATTCGTTTAAAAGTCTTTAAGATATAGCGTTATAAGCAAAAAGTGAAACTATTTTTACCAAATTAAAAGCCAATTTACCATTGAAATTGGAAATAAATATATCTTTATGTGTCATTACAGCGACCAATTCTCCCTGGACTGGGTTTTGCAGTTACAGTGATTAAAGCATCCTACTACAAACCCGGAGGTCCTTGGTTTGAATACAGCTAACAGCCAATAAACATCTCATTGACACATTTATCTCTCCATATCTCCTTTAAAACGATGCAGCTTACTCAAAAATGAGTGTATTCTCTTTCAATTTTGAGTACCTGGTTTTCAATTTCGACTTTCATTTGTTTCGGACCTATTTTGACACATTTTTATTCAATTTCATGAAACCTTTTCTTTTTTTTTCTTTTTTTTTACAGTGTAGTATAATAAGTACATTCGAATGGCGATATAGAATTTATATAATTTCTTACATTTGTACACCATACTTTCACATTTACTTTCCTTAAATATCTACTGTACCAATAGAGAAGGATCAATCTAAAGTTGCACTCAATATGTCATTCCAAACACTTTATCTAATGAAACTAGAGATAGATCTCTCGAGCACTTTACTGAATAATGTCTTTAGAGCCTTTGATAACGATAAACATATTTACTTTGATCCTAATTTATGTCCTCAAATGGCAGAAGATGAAACGAAACTAAATTGGCAAACCTTTCAGCAACCTGAGCCAATCCTGATGAGTTGAGACCAATTTCAGTCGCCAACAGCCCTAAAAATGCCTCTTCAGTTTACTATCGCCCTTAATAAAATAAGTTGTCTCTGTAAAGTGGCTTAATATATACGTTGAAAAGTAATCATAAACATCAACTGCTTTTTAAATCATCAAAATAAACACTTCATATTTTCATCGAGTTTAGATTGCAGACTTTATCGTTACTCAACGAGATAAACTCTAAAAATGAATGATTTACTCTAATGTTTTCATTTTATTGTTATATTAATGTAGTTTAGAAGGATTGTTCATTTAATTCTCAGTCTTTTGTCATTCCAATAAATAAAAGATACTTGACTATTCGATAGTCTTAGAAAATGTGTTTTAAGAGTATTTTAAGCAACCATGGTGAAAAAAAATTCCTTAATTTTTAAGCTTATTAAATCTTAAATATAGTAAATATTTTAAATAACATTGATGTAGGTTTTATTGTTAAATTAAGTCGACTTAAACCATTTGTTTTTCATTTATTTATAACCATCGTTAAACACCGTTTTTATGAAAAAAAAAATTCCTAGCTGTTTTTAATATATAATCTTTGTATGATAAAAAATAAACACGCATTTAAAAAGTGTCCAATCAAATTCGGTTTCATGCTCTAGTGGATTTTAACGTTTTTTTAAAAATAAGCAATTCATATGTTAAAAAATACCTTTAATACTTGTTTCTTAATAGTTTCGTTGATAAAATCTTATTTGCAGTGTGATAACCAAATTTTATAACGTTTTCTTTCAAATAAGCAAATTATAAATTTAAGAAGTATCTTTAATAGTTTCGTTGGTAAAATCACGCTTGTTTATTCTAAAATACATTTAATAATATATTTGATAAAATGCACATCTCTTGCCCATTTCAAAATATATACCATAATTCTATGCTTCCTAAAACCATTAAATTATAATTCTATAGAAGAAGCATCAAAAACAAAACAAAATACTAAACTTTACCATAAAACCCACATTTAAATATTATCTTAATAAATTTAAAATTTCATACTTCACTCGAGCTTAACTATTAACAACTTAATAATTTAACACCAAATTTCTAACTCACAAACCATTATTTTTCGAACACTTAATTCATTTAATACTTGCATTCTTCCACTAGTAATATATTCAAGTCATCGCGTTGAAGTTCTTTTTACCCAAAAACAAAATTGAAGACCCATAATTTGACCATTAAAAGTGAACGATAAATATCTAACTTAAACGTAAAGCCAACATTTAAATGTTATCTTAATATATTTAAAATTTCTTACTTTGTTCGAGCTTAACCATAAACAACTTAATAAATTAATATCAAATATATAAACTATTATTTTCTGAGCACTAAATGCATTTAACACTTTTACTGATCCATCGGGTATATATTCAAGTCATCGCGTCGAAGCTCTTATTACCCGAAAACAAAATTGAAAACCCATAATTTGACCATTAAAGATGAATGATCAATATCTAACTTAAACGTAAAGCCAACATTTGAATGTTATCTTAATATATTTAAAATTTCATTCTTTGTTCGAGCTTAACCATAAACAACTTAATAATTTAATATCAAATTTATAAGCCATTATTTTCCGAGGACTAAATGCTTACACTCTTCCACTAGTTATATATTCAAGTCATCACGTCGAAGCTCTTATTACCCGAAAACAAAATTGAAAACCCATAATTTGACCATTAAAAGTGAACGATCAATATCTAACTTAAACGTAAAGCCAACATTTAAATATTATCTTAATATATTTAAAATTTCATACTTTGCTCGAGCTTAACCATAAACAACTTAATATTTTAATATCAAATTTCGAATGTATAAACCATTATTTTCCGAGGACTAGATGCTTACACTCTTCCAGTTATATATTCAAGTCACTGCGTCGAAACTCTTATTACCCGAAAACAAAATTGAAAACCCATAATTTGACCATCAAAGATGAAAGATCAATATTTAACTTAAACGTAAAGACAACATTTAAATATTATCTTAATATATTTAAAATTTCATACTTTGCTCGAGCTTAACCATAAAAAACTTAATAATTTCGAATATATAAACCATTATTTTCCGAGGACTAAATGCTTACACTCTTCCACCAGTTATATATTCAAGTCATCGCGTCGAAGCTCTTATTACCCGAAAACAAAATTGAAAACCCATAATTTGACCATTAAGGATGAGCGATAAATAATCTTCTTATACTTGGACTTTTATGTTACAAACAAAGCTTCGTATGGTTGATGTGATCTAGCGTAACTGAAGCATTGAGATCCGCTTTATAGGAAAGCATATTCCCATCTTTCAGTATTTTCGGCACGTCATCTGCAGATTTAGGAAACTCGAAACCGGATGAGCAGTATCCACCCATTTCATTGGGAAAGTCTCTTATGATAGAATACTTTCTCCTCCTATTGAAGAAGTTACTGCAATCATGTGCCATAGCCATATTCTCTTCTTCCAAGTGACGAATTCGTGAACCTATGGCGACCTTTAAGTGAAAAGTTCTAAACGGCTTATTAAATCCTTTAAATGCCTCAATCAGCTTTCAGATGGGAGAA